ACCCAGCATGATTTATGTCTTTACAAAATATATTTCCTTCTTATTTTCTTTTCCTCTCTCTCTCTCTCTCTCTCTCTCTCTCTTCCTATTTCCATTCTTCTACACCCTATTTTTTAAGTGTGATTCACAGACAAATTTGGAATCAACACATTATGTTATAGTGAAAGAAGCATCACAAGAAGCATCACTTTTAAGCCAAAAAAGTATAATTTTTCTACATTTTTTGTTGTTATTTGAACTTCAAATGAAGAAAATAAAGCATTCTTCCTTTTGGATTACGTGTTATTATCATCTGATTTTTTTTTAATTTATTCTACAATAATAAAGTTTTCATTTGCTTGATTCTTCTTTCGTGTTTACACAACAACAACAAACGGTTATCAAACAAAGTGCGGTCGGCTACATGAATCCTTTTTGTCCATTGTGTTCCATTGAGAATCATTTTTCATTTAATTCTACTAAATTAATATCATTTTTTGTACAATATGCCCAAGCCTCTAGGTCTACCTCTGCCTTTCTAAACATCTAATCTCCTAACTGGATCATCAAATGGTTGATGTTTAATGTGACCATACCATCTAAGATGACTCTCTAATTTCATCCGCCATTGGACCTACACCAACCCTATCACGGATATATTCATTTCGTATTTTGTCTCCAAGTGTCAAGCCACGCGTCTAGCTAAGCATTCTCATCTCGACAACACTTAACTTTGTTTTATGCTTCTCTTTTAAAGGCCAACATTTTGTGCCATAAAGCATTGTCGATCTCACCAGCATCTTTCCTTTCAGCCTAAGCAATACTTTTCAATCACACAATAGGCCCGATGCTTTCCTCCACTTCAACCAACCAACTTGAATTCTATTAATAACATCCCCATCTATATCACCATCATTTTAAACAATAAACCCAAGATATCTAAAGCATCCACACCTTTTAATAATTTGATCATCAAATAGTTACAAGTCTGACACTAGAGTTACTACCACTAAAACTACATTCCATGTAATCGGTTTTCGCTCTACTCAAACTGAAGCCTTTAGTCTCTAAAGTAGACTTCCATAATTCAAGTTTTTCCTGAACTCTTTCTCTAGTCTTATCCATAAGAAGGATATCATCAGTGAAAATCATACACCAAGATACATCATCCTGTAAGAGCATCCATAACTAAAGCAAAAGGATATGGGCTTAAAGTTGATCTCTGATGTAATCCAACTGAAATAGAAAAATATTTGGTCAATCCTACTTCTATTCGAACACAAGTAGCAACTCTAGCATACATATCTTTAACGACTTGAATATAAGCCAAATAAACACCTTTCTTATCAAGAACTCTCCAAAGGATTTCTCTTAGAACCATGTCGTAAGCTTTTTCCAAATCAATAAAAATTATATGTAGATACTTTTTATTCTCTCAGCACTTCTCCATCAAACCTCTCAATAAATGTATAACATCCATTGTAGATCTGCCCAACAAAAATTCAACTGATTATAAGAGATTTTTGTAATGCGTCTTAATCTATGTTCAATTACCCTCTCTCATAACTTTAAAGTATGACACATCAACTTAATTTTTCTATAATTTGCACGCTCTTGTGCATGCCTTTATTCTTAAAAAATGGGGACCAAAATACACTTCCTCCACTTCCCAGACATCCTTTAGTTTTTAAAATAATATTAAATAGTTTAGTAAACCAAAAAACTCTCAAATCTCCCAAACATTTCCACAGTTCAATTGGGATATCATCAAATACTACTAATTTTCCACCCTCAGTTTTTTTAAAGCCTCCCCAACTTCTTTATTACTAATATGATGATAAAAATAATATATTTTATTATTATTAATGATATTAAGATCATTAAGATCGATCATATTTTAAGAAACTTCTTTAAAAAGTTTATCAAAATAGCTCACTCATATATTTTGAATATCCATCTATTCTGAATATCTTTACCTAAAAAAAGCATTTTTTTATTCTCATCTTTAATACACTTTAGTTAAGTTAAATCTTTACTTTTCTTTTCTCTTTGTTTGACTATTATTTTAGCCCATTTATTTTAGCCCAATTACAGTTATTATAGTTAAACTATTATTGTACATCAGTGATTATCAGTTTTGTAATTTTTTTTCCTCTAATTCAGGAGAAAAGTAGACTTATCTATTTATAATTAAATAGTACATTGCTTTGACTGAGCTAGGTCCCGTGATTTTTTCCTTTCCCAATATTTTTTCACATAAAAGTTTTGGTGTATGCTTCTACTACTTTATTTATTTGTAAAAGTGTTGAATTTTCATTCAACGCTAAGACGTTAAAGCATCACTCTACCACTGCGAATCTTCCGCGCGTAATAATTATATTTCTAAGTGCTTAATCCTTTAGTGATATTGTTTAATAGTTTAATTATATCAAAGGGTTACACATAACTTGTGAAATCATGTTGATATGAAATAAAATTAGCCTCATTCATCAACAAAACATATCAAGATATTCTTACATTTTTTTTTTCATAAGCATGGACTTATTATTTAAAGTTGCATAATATGCTTTAAAAACTAATATAGATGCCATGCTTATTATTGATGTAGATTGGTTTTATTTTAGTATATAGAAAACTAATATTTAATGCTTCCAAATCTTTCCAAGTGTTTTAACCCTTATATCCAATAGCAAATTGGTGATTTGATTGGCTTTATTTTAAGCATTTACTTTGAGATTATTTGGGAGTTACTACTAAACCCTATAAGTTACTTGTGATTGATTGTCAAAAGCTTATTGATAAATCTCACCCTTAGTTGAAGAAGAAAACTCTCTCTATTGTTAGTAGATTCAAATTAGCTAAAAGTATTATTTGTAATTATCTTTACTTATTTTGTCACTCTATTACTCTTCTTAAAGGTCTTATGAAGAAAATTTCTTTCATGATTAATAATTTTCTATATCATAACATAATGAAGAAGACAATGAATATTATTTTATGCAACACTGCTACTTTGCCTAAACCTAATAGTGGGCTTGGAATCACTTCTATAGACAACATTAATCTCATATGCAAATCTAAGTTAATTTGGAGGCATTATAATTTTGAATCATATTTAGTCCAATGATGTGATGCTCATTGTGGTTTTATCTGGTCCAAACCTTGGTCTATAATATATATATATATATTAGAAAATTTTGATCTCTTGTAATTATTGAAAGCTTGGTTATGCATGCCATGGCTAATTGCATCGGGCTTGAGAGAAACCCCCTTGAGTTCTTATTCTAATTTTCAAAGGTGGCATGGGAACTCTTTAACTATTTTAACAAATAGCTCTAAATGAATGGCTTGGTTTTGGTCCAATTGTTTTGATTTAGCTTTATACTTTACATTTTTTAGTTAACTAGTGGTTTTGTAAGAACTATTTATTATTATTATTATTATTATTATTATTATTATTATTATTATCATGCAAATATATTGATCTCTTGTTGCAATTGCTGAAAATACATTAATATATATAATATGTTCACATAACATGCATGCAAATTATCATGGAAATATAACAATAATAAAGAATGCATGCATGCTGCAATGGCATATGCATGTGTACGTGCACGAAACATCATGCATGCATGCATGATCTATACCTTGATTTACGTGCCTGGTTGATTTTGAAGTTCAAAAATTATATAGCAATTATTGAATAAATTCAAAAACCTACAGTAACAAACAAAAGGGGGCCAATTTACATGCATGGCACACAATTCATATGTATATACCATATCTCACACCCTAAATTTCATATTTAGCACTCCAAATTTTCATCATCACAAAAAAAAATAGCAAAGGAAGTGTTATGGATGTAAATATGAAAGTTTAGGAGCGTGATATATAAATATAAATACATAAAAATTACATGCACGCCACATAATTATTTACATATATAACATCTTTCATATTTATATTTTCAGCACTTTAATGAAAAACTCTTACATGAAATTAAATATTTCAGTATTAAAAAAAACAAAGGCAGTGATATTTTTAATATGATATGAAAGATTTTAAGTATTACACACAAATATTAAAATTGCAGTGTTAAATATGTAAATACATAAAGAATTGTGGTATATAAGTAAATGCCAATTGACACCTAAACCAAAAACTCTAGTGGTTGAAGTTTAAGCTAACTAATAATAGACAGCTGTGATGGGATTTATAGAAGAATAGAAGCCGTCTGGTTGCCGGTCAAGAGACAAAACAGAAATAAGTAGATATATGAACCCTTATTGTTGCCCACCTAATCCAAACCCCACCCTTCACTCTTTTCTTAATTTCATAACAGCCTCAAAAACTAATTGTTACTATATTTAATTGTAATTATTATTATTATTATTATATTTTCTAATAATTAGATGCATTACCTAATAACCATATGCTTTTGCCAACCAATTGTGGATAAAATTAGAGTAATTAAAATTATATATATACGCGCGCCGGCGCGCGCCACATACCCAGATCAGTTGATAGAGCATCCGCTTCAGCGTTGTATGTCCCCTCTGGTCTGGGGTTCGACTCCCCACGCTCAGAATCGTTAGGCGCATTAGGGATAGTCGAGGCTCGACTAACAACCTTCAGCCATTCCTTGAATATCTATATATATATATAGATTATCATAACACATAAAAAGGTAGTGTTTGATTTGATAGCAACTAATAATAGGATTTAAAGATAGATTTAGCTTAAATCCACCAAAACAATAAAAAAAAACTGAAAATTAAATCCAACATACCCTTTACTCAAATTTTATTTATTCTGTCCTACCTACCTAACGTAGATCTAAGTTGCAACCAAACAACGCTCAAGGAATGTTAGCTAGGCTTTAAATTTACTCCACATGAGATACTTATACAGCAACTAATCAGGTAAGACTTCAAATCACCAATTACATACAATAAGCTGCAAAAAATCTCAGTCAAAGCTTCATGCCCACATAAAAGAACAAAAAAAGGCCAAATTAATGAAGAAGGTAATAAAAAAGAATAATGGAATTCAAAATAATAAGCAAGTTTGTTTAGATAATACAGACATTCTCAAATGACTCGTTAAGAAAATAAACTACAGCGCTCATGATACAGACAAGTGCAAGAGAGGGGGGCAAAAAATTCAAATTGCATAAATTTCTCACAACCAACATGTTCATGTTATTAACAATAAAGTTGGTTCACAGAGAGAGATATAATCCAACGAATTTTTCACCCCTCTGCAAGCTTCTTTAAAATCCTCATTAGTTAAAGATGAGGACCGATCTCAGGCGAGAAGAAATAAAAACTGATTATAAACTTTAGTTCAAAGAAAATAAAAAGGATTTTAAAATAAAAAACGAACCTGGAAGGAGAATGATTGTCCGGGATTGAGCTTCAAATAACCCAGACAGTGGCCATCATCATCCTTTAATCTCTGTCTAAAATACTCTTCTTGTGAAATAAAAAACAAATCTTTTGAAGAAAACGAATCTCCAAATGGTACCCACTAATCCAACTTGACTGCCCCCATCCATATCCAGCCAAAGAATTTATTTACCAAATATCAATTTCTACTAAGCAACCAACTGATCCAGCTGCATCTGTTCCAACCAAGCCCCAAGCACAGCAGCATGGTCATGAGAATCAATCTGGCCACTTGAGTCATCATTAGGATTAGAAGAGCGGGATGCGAGACTGTCATGTCCGGCTGAAGTCGCCAATGGTTTCTCAGGGGGCGATTCCTTTACCAATGAATGAACCCAGGAAACATCAGGTTCTTCACCGCTGGAACGTAGCTCAAAGGAAGACGATCTTCTAAGCTGGCCCAAGTCTTCACCATTCACCCCCCAATCAATTGTTCTGGAAGACGAACCCAATCTGGACCAGGACGAGCTCACCGGCGAGCCCACAACTGCAGCTGCAGCAGCTCCAAGCTCACGGGAGCTGTGACTCCTCAGAGATTGCTGCTGTTGCTTCTCCCTCTGAGCAAATGCAGTAAGTCTTGAGCTTAAAGGGGACGCTGCATCCAAGCTTCTAGGAGACATCCTTCCAGGAGAAGATAACCCGAGAGAGGCCTGCAAGAGTGAGGAATGTCCCGGAATAGGTTGATCCATGGTGGTTTTTGGTGAGAACATCCCGGTTTTTATAGGTGAGAGAAGGCTTTGCTGCTGCTGCTGAAACTGATTTAGAATGGCAGCTTTATGAGAAGGAGAGAACATAGCTCCCTGTTCAGAATTATTATATCTCGGAGATAAAGAGAGCTCAGCTGAGAAAAGATCATCAAGATTAGAGCCATTCAAGTTCTTCGATCGAGCTATTCTGTTTCCAGCAGAGGAGCCAATACGTGAGATGAATAAATCATTAATCAACTGCTGGGTTTCATAATCCTGCATCAGGTAGTCATCCAACTGTATGTCTCTCGCATTAAGAGATGACCTAAGCCTGCTAGATTGCAGATTGCTTCCAGGAAGGTGGAGTGCGGGCACATTAGGCTGCTGCCAATTGAGCGAATTGTGAGAAATTGTGTTGGCAGAAGGTGACATGGGCGGTGTAAAAGAAGACATAATAGCTGAAACAGAAGATGGAGAGCCTGGCATTAAGCCCATTGCAGATGACACAGAGGACCTGGGAGACGGAACAGCTGAGCCAGTAGATATGTATAGAGGACGGAGCTCTTCATTGGTGTGAGCGAAAAAACAAACCCTTCTTGCGCAGTTAGTGCCGTCCTTGCAAAGCCTCGTGCGATACTGAGCAGGGTGAAGCCAACACTCAAACACCCCATGCGCATACTCGCACATATCTCCTCTCCTACATGCCCCTTTGCGAAAATCAGGGCAAGGAACACAACTGTAATGATATTTCCTCGGGTCACGTCTCCGTGCGTTTTCCCCTGGATGAACAAAGGGGCACTCTGTCCAATCATGAGAATAAGCCCTGGAGCAAGGTCTAACCTTGAAAGAGAACATCCGGAACTCATCTGTAGTATAGGCACAGTTTTTTATATCCGGAAGGGATGGATCAATAGGATACTCTTTCTTTTCCGGCATAGATGGGAGTTCTTGAAATTTTCCAGTCATGGGAGAGGAGGTAGAATCCGAGGAAGGCGAACCATCTTCCTCTGTTGAGGATGACAGTGAAAGAGAGTTGGATGCACTTGTAGAAACCCGGAGGGATTGGTGATGAATTTCACTCACTGCACCACCAGAGCTTCCCAGAAGATCTTCAAGTGCGGCCTTCACATTAGAAAGTTTACGAGGGACAGAAATCACATCAACTGGCCGGTCACCATTAGCATCGACACCATTAGGGTCAGCTCCAGCAGACAGAAGTATCTTTACAGCCTTAACAACATTCAAGGAACCACCAGAAGCAGCGCAATGGAGGGCCGTGGTTTTGTCGGGGCCACAGTAGCGGTTTATATCAGCAGATGAGAGTTTAAGGATCAAATTGAGCACATCAAGGCTGCCATAAGTGGCCGCTACCATGAGGGGAGTACGCCGCTCGATGACTTTCTTACGGCCATACCAGTCTCCAACAGCGTCAACGGCAGAGGGGTTTCGATCGATATATTCTTTGAAACCATCCACATCATTGTTAGCTGCAAGCTCCAGAACGCTTGCAAAAGTATCATCGATCTCAACGTTAAGGCCATTCATTGTTTTTTTCAATTCAGTTAAGGATATCTTGGCAAGAAGAAGATGACGAAGATTGCAATAACTTTATTTGTTCCAGACCACCGCACATGCTTCCATTCAGCATAAATTTTTCCTGGATAAAAACGAAATTGGAAGGGAAGCAGTCAATAAGTTTAGATAGCTAAACTCTACAGCACCATCAACATAGCGCCCAAAATCTAGACCGCTATTTAAGATCAAAAGCAAGCCCATCTAGTTCTTGTAAACATTTTAAAGAAAAGATCGAGCATGTTCCCAATCTTATAAGTCGGCTCAAACTTAAAAACAATCTAAAAGCAAAAATCATTTATATTTTTACAATTCAGTTTTTTGCTTCATCTCAACAACAGATTTAAATAATTCCATGCATGAATACCATATCTCTAAAAAAAAACATCATTTAGAATCACCAAGAAAAACTGAGATCAACGAAACGATCCCAACAAAAAAGAAAAATCTAAAGGCCAAAGAGCACAAAGCATTAAAGTCTTTACCTATTCCCGGCAGATCAACACAGACCCGGAAAAATCGCCATTAAATCTTCGCCGATCAGCTCAAAAGCAATCGATCTTCCACTGATCCGACCAAGATACAGAGCAAGGAGCTCTCAGCAACACAAAAGTCAACCCGATTCAATCAAGGAGTAGGGCTCGCAGCGACAGCGGAGGAAAAATCGAGAAGAAAAGCGAGAAGAGAATCAAAGAAGGAATCAGAGCTTCCTCCGAGTCTCGAAATGGCAGCGAAATGAAACGCTAACGCGAATGAAATGAGAGAAGTGAATTTGCGGGCCGCGAAATTTAACTCCGTCGGAACTGGAGATGAAACCCATTCGAAATTAACCCAAATTCACCCGTCATGCGGATTGGAATCACCGCAGAATTCAAATTTTCAATGGAGAGGTGACCGGCTAAGCCGGTGGATGGAAAATAAATTAATTTGATGCCGCCTTAGAAAAATGACAAAAAGGAACAAAATTTACTCGTACATATATCTGAATATTAATGAATTCCTTTAAAAATAAATATATTGTTTATTATAAGAGAAAAATATTAAAATAATCCCGACTATTTAATTAGATTATTGTGGCCCCATAATTTATAGAAATGTCAAAATAATTGTACTTATAAGAGATTGTTAGAGCACAGACTATTTTGACACTTCTACTGTGAGATTGAAGAAGCCTAAATTGTGTAGCACTATTTTGGCGCTACTCTTTGTTATAAAAATGGATGTTGGGATATAAATGAATTAATGGACTTGATGAATAAATCCAAATTGACAATTAGTGCTTAATCATATTTGTTCGAATTAGTAAATCAATAAATTTGAATATTATTTCAAGAACTCGAAGTTAAATTAATCAATTTTGAACATAATTCAATTTGTTTATGAAAATGTATGAATAAACTCCTTTGTTACTCCATAAATAATTGTTAAATGTTTTATATCTAAATGATGTATTATTTAAATTAAAACTATTTTTAAGAAAAAATTGTTTAATTATACCAAATTATTAATATATAGTAATATGCACACAATTTTAATGTTATTTTTTTGTATTTCAAATTTGTTTGATAGTACTTGTTTATATTGTCTGATTGAAAAAAAAAATGCTTACAATTTATATATTATTTTATCTACTTAGTATAAATTAGTTGGATGTTAATTTTAAATTTATGTAATTATTTTTTATTTTGATTTGTAAATGTATATACCAGAAATACCAGCACAATTCTCAAAAAGAACTATCGGCCAAGATAAAAGAACCTCATTTCAAGGTAATTAATCAACTGAAGATTAAAAGCCGAGCATGAAGTTGCGTCTCCAAACCCTGAAAAGGTTCAAGCTTTAAGGATGGTTCCCCATTCGGTAGCGACAAGACCGATTGAAACTGAGGCGTGAATTATCCTAGCAGGAAGTCTCATCAAATATCCTGCGTAGGCTATGACAGGATCCGCTTATGACCTTATAAGGTTGGGAGATCCAACTGAGGCGATGAACCACAAGCAAGCGAGACACGAGTCCTGTAAGACTTTAACCGACATAAAATGAGCCACAACTCACTATGAAAAAAGCCGGTCAATCACATTCGACCGACCAATCACGGGTTTGGACCGAACGAGCATCTCACAACTGATTTCTCCAATCGAACGTGCACAAAGACACGGAGCAAGATCATCATACGGTCGAACACCTCGACCGACCAACGCTTACTTTAGAGGACACAAGTGCCACTCGGCCTGTTGCCTCAATCAATTGACTTCAAGCCAACTGACCAACCAATTACCGCTAATTCTGAAATTCAAATTGTAATACAAATATGACATAAAATTCATACAATCAATTAAAGTCTCAATGACATTAATAACCATTTCCATAACAGTTCCCTCCTTTCTGTAATTGTATAAAACATACTTATATAAGTACAAGATAAACATACAAATAAAGTGACATTCCCTTAATTCTCTCTACAAAGATCCCAAATTTATTCTACTCATTCTTCCTTCTCTTATTCACTCGGCTCTAACTCTCGAGGCATGATTTACAAAGGAAAGACTAGGATACAACATTCTGAAAGATGGTGCGGTGAGCTTGGACATGCCCAAGACTAGAAACGAAGCTCACTACAAAGGAGAAAATTACCAAAGAGAGATAGTGTGCGTAGAACCCAATAAGAAGGTTACACAACCAGACGTCCAGACGTAATGTTAGGGGTTGCAAGCCTAGTTGACTCTTATGATGGAACAATTTGAGATCCTTTGGGCAACAATCACCTAAAGGAATGACCATACACCTCATCTGGAGGCACAGCCTCAGGGTGTTTGCCCTCAGAGGCCCCAACAGGGCAACCAACTTGTTCCTGACACCCAAGTTAGCAACTAGTGGACAGAGAGACAAGACGAGTACTAGCACACTGACACAAGCTCATTCACAGAAGAGCGGATAAGGGAACCTGTTTAGCTGCTCGAGGAAGTGGCATTCACTCAGCAAATCAAAGAAGTGGTACCCCTACCCAAGCTGAGGGTCTCTAGTCTAGACTACTACAGAGGGAGGACCAACCCGATCGACCATGTAGCATCTTTCAAGTCATCGGTTGGTCTACTTCAGGTTGACGTCACCATACTATGTCTTCTCTTCTAAACCCTCTAAAGGAGTCTACCCTGTTATGGTTTAATGGTCTGCCGAGTGAAATCATTCCGAGTTACTAAGAGTTCAAAAGACTCTTCAGTTCACACTTCTTTCATGTAGAAACCAAGGAAGGACTCGGACACCCTGCTCGACATCAGATAAGGAGAAAATGAGAGCCTCCGGGCCTACATCACCTGTTTCCATAACGAATTGTTGGAAGTGAGAAACTTTAAGTCTGAAATAGCTAAAACATACCTAAAATAAGGGGTCCAAAGTAAGTATTTTAGGTATGACTTAAACTTGTTTAAACTTGTCACTTTTACAGAAATGCTAGAAATGGTGAACGAGCACATACTCATCGAGGAATGCCTTTAAGACTCTCCGGAGGATAAGTCGGGATATTCCAAGCACTCTAAAAAAAACGAACGATAGGGGCACCGGTCACCAAAACAGTAACCCTCGATCCCGACATCAACGGGGAATCATCATAGCCGTAACTCGAATAGGTATTCTGAATAGCTGCAGCCCAATATTATGAGCAGTCGCATGATTACCGAAAAATACTGAGCATGACACCCCTCAATGTCTCAATGGTTGAAATAGTCCAATTCATCTAAAATAATGACCATTCAAACCAGCATCGCCGCTGAGATGCCCCTAGATTTGTGGGATCAGAAGAGGAATTGTCAGTGCCACCGCGGACACAATCACGACTCAGAGGAGTGTCATCATCTCCAGAATCTGATCAACGAGCTCATCAGTGTGGGAAAGCTCAAAGAGTTCGTAGTTGTCAGTGCAAATACACAAAGGAAATGAAAAATATTTAATATAACAATTTAGATAACTAAATACCAATTAATGAACATCCTAACACACATATACCATTAAGGGATTGTGCTAATCCAACTGTAGATGAAATTCACTTAATTATTCAAACTCCTGTCATAGAAGCTAACACATTTGAAATAAAACTACTATTATCCAAATGATGTAGAACAACCAGTTTAGGTGGATCCCATCTGAGGATCCAAATTTACATTTAGCAAGTTTTCTGGAATTTTGTGTTACATTTCATTATAATGGTGTGTCAAACGACGCTAGTAACTTTTTTCCCATTTCCTTGAGGGAAAATGCTAAAATGTAGTTAAACTCTTTAGCATAAAGATCTAACATAATTTGCGGAGACTTAGCCCAAAAATCCCTAACTAAGTATTTCCCACCTTCAAAAACTGCTAAACTTATGAATGATATTACTTCATTTTGTCAGTATGAATGTGAGTCAATATACGAAGGGTGAGAATGGTTTAAGGAATTTCTTTGGAAGTGTCCATATCACGTTGTGACCGATTGGTTAATTATTCGGACTTTTTACAATGGTTTAGTAGGATCCCTTAGATCTATTATTCATGTTGTCGTTGGTGGTTCACTCATGTCAAAGCTATTTGATGAGGCTAACTCTTTAATTAAAGAAATGACTACAAACAATTTTCAATGGCCTTCTAAAAGAATAAACCCTAGAAAGGTAGCTAGTGTGCATGATAATGATATGCTTTCAATTCTTACGTCTCATGTAATAGCTATTTTTAGAAAGCTAGATCAGTTTTGAGTGAACCAACCTCAAGTACCTTCATTAATTGAGGAAAATTCATTTGTACAAATGGTTGATTCTAACACTCCATCATTTGAGACCTTAAATGTAAGTAACATTGGGCCTAACAACCCTTATTCTAACTTCTATAACCCTGGTTGGAAGAATCATCCTAACTTTAATTGAAATAATAATTTTGTTGGAGAAAACCAACAATGGGATAATAGCCAAGCAAATCCTTCAGGAAATTGGAATGACAAGAGTAGTACCAACTATAGACTTTCTTATCTACTAGGCTAACAATATTCCACAATTTAAGAACAAGAATTTGTCTTTGGAGGATGTTGTATTACAAATATGGAATCAACTGCAAAGCCAAGGGCAACAATAATGAACATAGAGAATCAAGTGGGACAGATTGCTAACTTACTTAGCAATTGATATTAAGGTTAGAGGTTTTCAACGTTTACCATCCAATCATTTTTATTTTATTATTTTTATTTATAGATCAAGACTTATTAAGATGCATAATTCTAGGTATTCTTTTAATTAGTATAATAATCAATCTAATTATCATATAAGATGTCCTCTTGACCTTGTTTTTTACAATGCAATTTGGTTGGATTTCTTTCTTACTTTATTTTGCAAAATTTTAGAACCTTATTTGTTAAATCATGACTCTATTTTACTTACTTTATGTAGCTCTTTTAATGTTCATTATAGATTTATGTATAAAAATTATTAGTGCTGTCGTCGTGACTTTTATATATTATTAATATTGCTTGGAGAATTCCTGTTAATAGGGACTGCAATAAACTTCAGAATGTTAAGCTTTGTTTTAAGAGCTGGAATTGGAATTCCTATAAGGTTTTATCGCATTACATCGCCGACCTTATTGTTAAAAAGAGCAGAATTATGGCTTAGTTGGAAATTTATCCTTTATCTAATAACCTTTTAGAGGATGCCTCTGTCATTCAAAATAATCTTCTAATGCTTCTTCTTGTGACTATAAGTGGGCCAAATAAATAGTAAAATGTAATTGGCTAACTAAAGGAGAAGATGATATTAAGTTTTATATCAAAAAGCTAAA